AGTCGAATTTTACCAGGTGAGCCATCTTGGGACCAATCCCTGGAAGCGACAATAGGTCATCCAAAGAACTTGGAATGTCACCGTTATACTTCACTAGACAAATTTTAGCTATTTTCTTCATATATGTAGCCTTCCTTGTATAAAATCCAACCTGAAAGTAAAGGCAAACAGTTTATTTCATAATGAAGATGTTACTGCGAATTATAGTCTCTCACTCCTTTCCTCATCTCCCACTTTTTTGAGAAATTGGCATGAAAATGACCTCACCAACCTCAAGAAGTAAGATGAAACTTGGATGATAACATACCGGGTAGATCAAATCTCTTATGGTTGATTCATCAGCTTTGTCAATGGCTTCAGGGGTGAGAAGGCCGTTTTCATGAAGACGATGGATTGCAGCTGCATATTGAATAGTAAGTATTGATTTCTAATCAGGAAACTTGTAAATGCAGATGATATGAGTGTATATACCAGAACCGGTGAAATAGTTGTTCCTTTAACAGCACAAAACTCACCGTTATTAACTTGATCTTTTGTCTGACTTGAAAGTAGTGATCCTAACAAAACAGCAAATCTTCTTTCCTAGAGATAGTAAACAAAAAAATATGATCAGTAGTGAAACAAGAACAACCATCTCTCTGCTTTTAAGCATAACTTGGTCTTCTCAAATATGAGGACAACAAAGAAAAGAGAAGCCAAAGGTGTTTTCCTAAACTATTCGCTAGCCGTAATTACATCAAAATTTACCAGAGACTTGAGGAAAAATGTGCTTTGTACGGTAAACAAACACCTCAAGCACAAAGAGCTAGAAAGTCAGAGTAATATCATAAGCACACCTCCACACAAAATCCAATCACTAAAGTTGAGGAAGATAATCATACCGAAGGAGGAAGAAAACTTCCAGCTTTATCGCAACCCATAGAATCAACTGGTGCATCTTCAGAAGATCTCATTTGACGAATACCATCTAACACTTTTACCCAGTTTTCAGGCGGATTTCCTAGAGTAAAATCATAACGTTAACACATAAGCAGTTTCCATGAATGAAGAATCGGTAAAGTAGAAACCTCGCCAACTCTTTCATTTAGAAATTTGCTGCGTGATAACATACCTGCTGATTTGACTGAAGTCACAGTGATGCTAGTTTCCGTTGATCTCCCTGCAAAAACCAAGTAAAGAATTTCTCTTGGCTGTTTAAGGAAAAGGCTAAGAATGTGCATGATGATAAAGTGCTACTAGTATGGAAAGTAGTGATTGAAACCAAGTTTACTGAATAGGTAGGAATGTGAAAGTTCTGAGTTATATAATGAGACTTACTGGTTGAAGAAGATCCAGTTTTCTTTTTGAYAGCAAATTCTTCTATATCAGGTAATCCACATAGCTGCTGCATCATTAAATACAAAAAGACGAAAACAACAAGTAAGACACTAAATAACAACACAAGGTGAATACATGTTCATGAAACAGATGCAAAAACACTAATCAAAGGTTCTCTCATTTTGCTGAGGCATAATCATAGCAATAACCAAGGCAACAAAATCACAAACACTCCAATCACTAACTTCAAACTCAAACGGTTAGGTCAAATTAACTTCAAAACGGGTTAGGTCAAATTAACTTCAAAACGAACTAAGTAAAAACTCACTCCCATGAAATTATTACCACACTTGATCAAAAGAATCGCAATTTCCACAACATTGTTCTACAAAATGATCAAAAGAGTCACAATTTCCATAACATTGTGCTACAAAATGATCAAAAGAGTCACAATTTCAAAAGCTCACTTTGTGGGTATTGATTCCTTTGCCGGAATCTTTCTCCAAAGCTTCCAATTTTACTCTTTTCTTCCGGATATACACTCGAGTCTCCGATCCAGAAGCTCCATTGGCTGGTTCCGACACTATAACAACAATCTAACAGTTACGCAACGAAACAACAAACAGCAAAACAAAATTTCCAGGGAATTTGAACAGTTGAGAGCGATAGAAAGAAGACCTGGGTTTGTTGAATCCGAGCGAGAATGTTGGCTTTTCAAGGAATTGGGTTTACAAGAAGTAACAGATCCGTAATTTTGAGGATTCATAGCTCGAATCGAGTAATACGAGCTGCGTTGTGAAGGATACAAGAAGAAACGGCTCCGATTAACGATAATCATAGAACAATTTTGTTTATGTATCACTTCTACA